GGGTCCCCTCAAAGCAAACCCCCTTCCAAGACTAAGACTCAATGGGAATACATGCTCTGATTGGTGACCACGTTTGTCACCGATAAGGAGAAGTGAGGGAAAAACAACAATGAATCTGCGAGCTAAGCCCTACAATGTTCAATAGACTCCTGTGAACCCGGGTAGAGACCTGGTTGGCCAGCAGTGTGACAAGACCTGGGGACTCTTTGGCCCAGAGTCAGTGACATAGCCACAGAGGACTGGAGTGGAGAGTGAAGCATCCAGCTGATAAGAAGAGAGGGCATGTGCACAAGAACACCCACACTTGCAGCTAATACCCACTTGACCTGGCTTCAAGGACTGGATGATCAGAGCTCAACTAGAAGAAGAAAGAAGAGGAAAAACAGAGTAATCTGATACAATTTGATGAACTTGACCTACACCTATGGATGCAGTAGCTCAAAAGAGGGAACAAATCTTTACAGGGGTGATTCTTCCCTCCCCCTCCATACACAGAGTAGACAGGGATGGGCAACTTGGACATTGGCTACCCAAAATGGGGGTATTACAAAAGCTCACAAGCTTTCAAGAGGGAACCTAGATCCAGAGAGCGTAGAGGAAAGTAGACTCTCTACTGAGTAGTATCCAATCTGACTAGCCAGGGCTGATGAAAGGAAATGCGGGTAGGTCTCTTGTGATACAATAGTGAATAATTGTTATCAGGACTGATTGTAAGGGTTGGAAATGTAAAGGTAGACGTTTTGTAGCAAGGAGGGGAGTGATTAACTTCAATAGTCTAGGAGCGGAGAATAGTCTGGGACCATCAAGGGAGAAGAACGGAGAGAGCAGGACCCTACCCAGAGAAGCAGTGATGCCTGAGATGGAGACAGAGACGATGACGTGGAGAGATGGAGCAGTTGGGGACTTTAGACCCAGAGAGGGAGAGGGGCTGTGTGCTGACCCGTGAGGCAGGCTTGCCTTTGGTTGGTTGATGATGCATAGAGGGGATTATAATCATGGCAGTGAAACAATATACGATAGGATGAATGTAAAACTAATGTTCTCCCATGTAAGCTATCACATAATTCACAATAAAATATTTTTAAAAAAAATCATAGATAAGGAATTTGAAAACACTGTGAAGCAAATCTTAATATTCTCCTCATCTGAGGGATGAAGACATGGAGCCTCTTCTTGGACACTGAGTTTCTGTTCAGGGGGGTGGAAACATTTGGGAGGGAAACAGCAATAGTGCACAGCACGGTAAATATACATCAGTGTACACTTAAACATGGCTAAAATGGCAAGTTATGTTATATATGAGGCGGCTTCAAAAGTCCATGGAAAAATGGAATTCTCTTTTCATTCCATTTTCCACATACTTTTTGAAGCCCCCTCATATATTTTGCCACAATAAAAGAAGAAACTGGCCCTTCTTTCCAATTTCTGGAAACGAAGATGACAGGGCTTGCTCACATATAGCATGTAAGAAGGAGAGCTCAAGGCCAGGTTCACAGAGCCCCTGTCCCCCTCTGCAGAGGTGACCACATCAGCTGAAGTTGAAGGGGCGGAAGCTACAACCCAGGATCTCAAAGGGCAAGGCCAGGCCTTTCCAAGAGTTTCAAAGCCTCAGTTCCCCCATCCCACCAAAGAGAGAGAGTGTGTTAGATTAAATAAGGTGTCATTAATCTGAGGACCAGGGTGGGATTATCCCAACCCACCCTGAAACTCCAAACACACACACACGTGTCTAAGGGTACATGCTTCTCAGGGAAAGGCTTCTCAAAGGGCCCCTCGAATCTCAAGAGAGGAAGAAGCATGGTCCAGACAAATCTTTAATTTCCAATCCAGTTCTGGCTGGAGTTCTGAGGTCCTAAGATTCAAATGGTCTATGATTCTGTTCTCCAACTCTGAGGTTTTCCATGTGGGATCCCTGGACCAGCGGCATGGCATACAAGAGCTTGTGAGAAAGACAAATTCTCACGTCCCACATGAGACCTGTCGAATCACAAACTATGAGGAGTGAAGGGAGGCCACCAGTGTTTAACAAGGCCTCTAGGTGACCCAGATGTGTTCAGTCTATACCTGGGGTCTACTGCATTTCCAAGTTCTGTGAGGCACATGGTCTTAGACTTTTAGTAAAAAAAAAACAAAAAAAAACAAACCCTTTGCTGTCCTCTCGATCAAGACTCCCAGGGTCAGGAATGGATTGAATTGTGTCCCCCAAAATATACATGTTTAAATCCGAATCTCTGCACTATAAATATAACCCTGTTGAAAATAGGGGGTCTCTTATGTTAACAAGGCCATGCCAGAGTAGGGTGGATCCCCAAAGTAACTGCCTAAGTTCTAAAAAGATTCTAACAAACACAGAAACATACACAGGGGAAGTACCATATGAAGACAGATGTACACAGCAGGCTCACCTATGGGCCCAGAATACCAAGGATGGCCATTTACTAGAAACAGAAATCGACCAACAACGACCTTCCCCTGAATTCAGACTTCCAGTCTTCTGAATTGTGAGCAAATACATTTCTGTTCTTTAAAGTCACCCTGTGGCCTTTCTGCACCAGCGCCATCACTAGGTCACTAAACACACCTTGATGAGTTGTTAAGTGCCCTCAAGTCAATTCGCATTCACAGCAACCCTGTAGAGGGTTTCTGAGGCTGTAAATCTTTGTGGAAGCAGAAAGCCTCATCTTTCTCCCATGGAGCACCTGATGGGTTTGCACTACCAATCTTGTAGTTAGCAGCCGAACTGTATGTAACCCACTGTGCTACCAGAACACCATATAACATAACTGCAGTAACACATTAAAAAAAATCATCAAATATCCATGAGTGTTCATGGTTCCCAACCACCTTGTTTTTTTGTATTTTTTTTAAATAGCATAAATCAAGATTCAAATAAATCCTACCCATTGCAGTAGATATGCCTCTCAAGATCCTTTAAGAACTCTCTCCAGTTTTCCCCTTGGTATTGTATTTGATGAAGAAAACTGGGACAAGTTTCCCATAGCCTGCATTTTGCTGACTGGCATGCCTGTGGTATTGCTTAACATGTTCCTCTGTCCTTGTATCACTGGATAATTGGTAGTTAGATCCTGAGTCTCGATCCAATTCAAGTTCAATTTTTTGACAAGACTTCCAAGGTGAGGTCACATCCCTGCCTGTGGGGACTCACATGGATGGGTTGTCCCTCTTTGGAATGTAGCTGCTCTTGGTGTTCAAGACCACAATCCATTCATTCACCAGAATTGCCAGGATTTGGGGACGAAGAGAACAGACCATTTGCACCACCCAAAGGCCTCTACAAGGAGCTCTGGTAGTGTACTGGTTATGAATCGGGCTGCTAACCTCAAGGTCAGCAGTTCGAAACTACCAGCTGTTCCACGGGAGAAAGATGAGGCTTTCTGCTCCCGTAAAGATTTACAGCCTTGGAAACCCTAGACTGGGTGGCTATGAATCGGAACCTACTCCACGGCACACCACCAAGGACCTCTACAAAGCCCCGCGGTACCTCCAAAATGTTACCCTGGGAAAGGACACCGTCAGAAAGTCACTCTGAACTTGCAACGTTTCAATCCTGAATTTCAACATCCTCGGAATCCAACATTTCAACTTTAGACCATAATCCAGCATTCAAGATTCTAACACTCCGGGGATTTCCAACTTTCTAGGATTCTCACATTACAGCTCTTCAAGATCTTGGCATTCTTGAATCCTACCATTTCAATTATTCTCCATGTCTCAAGGGGTCCAAACTTGTCGCATTCCTAGATTCTAACATTCCAACAATGAGTCTTGACATTTCCAGGATATCAACATTCTGCCTTTCCCCAACTCCAACATTTATGGATCCTAATATTTTAAGACAGAATTCCACCATTCTAAGATTCCAAGATGCTATCATTTGGGGAAACCAATCTGCTGACAATGTAGACATCTAACTCAGGCAATCTGCTAATTCTCAAGTCCCAAATTCGAGGATCCCAACATCTCAGGTCCCCTAGAACCCAGCATTCTCAGATTTCAATAGTGATCTGAAGTCCAACATTCTAGAATCCCAACATAGTGAATTTCAACGTTCAAACAGTCTGATTCTAAACACTCCAGTGAGAAAGTAACCTAATTCCAACACTCTTAAGACTCCCAGTTCCAACATGCCAGCATTCTAGGACTCTATTCATGTTAGGAATTGAACTGTGCCCCCCAAATTATGTGTTGTAAATAAGTCTTGGTATGGTACTACAGGATAATGCGCTGGACTGCAAGTTGAGTTTGAACCCCACCGTCAGTGATTCGGGCCCACCAGGCCCTCCTCCAAAACCCTATGGAGGGTCAATAGGAGTCAGAAGGACTCTAAGGCACTTAGCAGCAATGCCTGTGGTTATAATCCTTTCTGGGAATGGGTGTCTTTGTTATGCTAATGAATAGGATGAGTGTCAGGGCCTCATGGTTCCATCTCTTCTGAGATGTTAAGAGATTAAATCAGCAAGCCAGTAGAGGAGAGATAGAAAAAGAGAGATGATCAGGCACACGGAGACCTCCAAGGAACCAGGAAGATAAAGACCTACTTCACCGCTCCCACAGAGAGAAAGTCTTCCCCTAGATCCAGTACCCTAATCCTGTCTTCTAGCCTCCTGAAGTGTGAAAAGAGCTGGTGTGGCACTGTGGGCTAATGCATCAGACTGCAGTTGTTTGAGCTGAAAGGTTGGTGGTTCAAGCTCACCAGCTGCTCCTTGGAAACCCTATACATGGTTGCTATGGGTCGGAATCGACTCAACGGCACTTAACAACAACAACAAAGTGTGAGGGAATACATTTGTTGGTTAAAGCCACCCACTTTGCGGTATTTCTGTGATAGGGCACTAGAGAACTAAAACAGACCTCCTCTCCTAAGTCCCCACCAGCTGAAGGAGATGCTCAGCCAGGCACCCAAACCCACAGTGACAAGGGGTAGTGGACACTGGCTAGGCCTGGGTTGGAAAGGCTCACTTGAAGGTTGCAAAGCTCACCTGAAGCAGTAGTTGGTGTCTAGTGCCCGCCGTGTCCGAGAGCTATGCAGGTGCTGAGCCCTCTCCAGTGGGGTAGCCATGAGGAGCAGGAAGGGCCGGTGCATGCTGTGAATGGTCGCCAGGTCACCCCTTCGGTTGTTGCTACTGAGCCCTATTTCAGTGAAGAGGGGAGAGGAGAGCAACACACATTCAGAGGGAAGGATTGATGGGGTGGGGGGACACACCAAGGAATGGATCCATATGGGAGCACACACTCAGAGGGAAGGATTCATGGTTGTTGCTACTGAGCCCGGTTTCAGTGAGGAGGGGAGAGGAGAGCAACACACACTCCGGGGGATGGATCCATGGGGAGGGGGACACACACTCCGGGGGATGGATCCATGGGGGCGCACACACTCAGAGGGATGGATCTATAAGAGGAACACATTCAGAGGGATAGATCGCTCTAAGGGGGGCCACACGCTCTGAGGGATGGATCCATGGTTGGGGGACACATACACACACTTGAACATGCTCTCATTTCAGTGGGATGGATCAATGCCAAGGGGAGCCCACAAGTCAGAGTTGGCCCAGGGAAGCAGGTCTCACCTTTGAATTCCACATGGAGTTTGTTGTCCTTGTCATCACAGGAGCAGTGAGCACTGAGGCGAAAGCCCTCTATGTCCCCTGTGGGAGTGGGGACAGGAAGCCGGTCAGAGGGTGGCTCCCCCAGACCCTGGGGAAGAGGAAGGGAGGAGGCAAATCACAGGGCCCCTTCCTGCATCTTCACTGGCTGTGTCCTGTCTGCACCTCTCTTCTCCAATTCTCTCCTTCCTTTGGGTCTCTGACACCTGCGTTGGGTTACTGATATCTCCAGCTCTATTAGCAGAAATCTATAAGCATTGCTATGAGTTGGAACTGACTCGATGACACTTAACAACATTAGCAGAAAGTGGAAATGCGGTGGTTCTGCAAAACACTGGACTGCGAACCTCAAGGTGGGTGATTCGAGCCCGCCAGTCACTCTGAGGGAGACAGATGAGGCTTTCTGCTCCCCACAAAATTTACAGTCTCAGAAACCTCATATAGAATATTTCTATTATGTCAGAACTGACTAGACAACACTTAACAGCATTAACAGAAAGCAAGAAGCCTGGGGGGGGCATGGATATTTGGTTTTCTCGTTCCCAAAGCCTCTGTTATTAATGTTAAGTGGCCTTTCACTTCTGAACCCTGTCTAGGGTTTCTGAAGCTTTTAAATATTTGTGGGAGCAGAAAGCCTCATCTTTCTCCTGGGGAGCAGCTGGTGGGCTCAAACCTCAGACCTGTGGTATGCAGTCTAGTGCTTATCGTTGAAGCCATGGCCCTGCTGAGCGCTCTGGCCCACAGTCATAAAAGTGAATGTTTATGGAGTGTATACTGGGTGCCAGCCGTGCTTCCAGATCCTCCTTTAATCCTCATCAAAATGCCAGGAAACTGAGACACACCTACAAGAAGTGAGTTGCTTAGGATCGCACGAGTAAAACAGGTCTGTTTCTAGAATGAATGAGTGACTGCTGTTTCCTAAGCCCCCACTTAGCTCCACCAGGAGTCCTGGTGTGGCGCTGTAGGACAACCAATGAACTGCAAGGTTGGTTTGATCCACCAAGGTCAGCGGTTCAAACCCACCAGTCGTTCCTCAGAAACCCTATGTAGGGTCGCTATGAGTCGGAACCAACTCAACATAACAACAACAACAATGTGTTGGATTCTGTGCTAGGCACTCAGGGCTCAGCATTGACCAACACAGATGAGGCCCTTCTAGAACCTGGTCCAGCAGCCCTGGACACTCCCCTCAGCCCCCCCACATCTGACCAAACTTCTACTTACCCTGTGAGGCTCAAGATTTCACTCTTATCCTAGAAACTCTTTGGGACCACTCCCAAGGATTCTGGGCCCTTCCTGGGGCTCCCACTGCCTTAGGATTTTCCCCATCCAGTCCCGACCTCTCTGCCTGTACCTCCCACTTCTGACCCTGACCTCTGTGCCTCTTTGTCCCTGCCTGGGACATTTCTGTTCTGATGAGATTTAGGCAAGACTTGCTAGGTATCTGGAAGTCGTTGTTGGCGGTGTGAGGGAAGGACCTGGGGTGGTCTTCGACATCATGGATTTCCCCCACACCACCGGGCACAGAGCAGAAGCCTGTTGTTGGTCAAATGAGTGTAGGAAGGAGAACGGGAAGGAAGGAGCTTTGGGTTCTTTACACAAGCAGTCTCTTCTGGACATCTCAAACATGCCAGTCTTTCTCTGTATTCGTGGCCTTCATGGAAGCTGTTTGCTCTGCCCTGAACACTCTTGTTCCTTCTTTGTTCAACTGGTTCACTCAAAGATTAGCTCAGATGCCTCCTCTTCCAGGAAACCCTCACTGCCTCCCCGGGCCGGATTAGTCACCTTCTCTGGGCTCCTAATCTCAGCCATGTTCACTACAGGTCAAGGCTGCCTTTTTAGACATCTCTGTTCCTGCCCATCTCCAGGGCAAGGACGGGGCTGTCTGGAGTCACTGCTGTTTCCCTAGCATCCACCGGCACAGGGCAGAGCGCACGGCAGATGTTGGATTATTAACCATTAATGGATAAATTAGTTAGCTTCTCAAGTTTAAGTGTCCAGGAAGAGAGACGGTCAGGTCTCAGCTCTTTGACCTAAGCACACTCATGGTGGTTGGGGCAGGGGAGCAAACCTCACCTCCTTGGTCCAGCCACTGCCGCACAACTGTAGTGACGTCAAAGGACAGCCACTCCGAAAAGTCGCTGGGGGTCAGCAGCCTGTTGCTGAGGTAACGCCAAGAATTGTTGCTATATTTCTGAGAGACAATAAGCAGGAAAAGAGAGGCTGTGGGTATGTGATGTTGTGTTCCCTACATATGCTAACTGTATAGGATCCCCCAAGAGGCCCCAATGGTCCTCCCAACACTGTCCTAACCAGACTGTGGGGCCCTACAAAAGCACCCTCCGAGAGAAAAGATGCTGAAAGAGCCCCAGGCTGGAGACCAAGCACCGCCTTTTCCCGACTGAGGGGCTGTGGGCATTTTCTCTTTCTCAGAGTTTCCTCACTGGTAAAATGCTTGGACAGCCCACGATGCTAAGATTCTGCTGCCCACCTTATGGAGTTCTGCTAACCACGCTGTTGTTGCTGTTAGGGGCTGGGGGAGTAGGTTCCGATGCATAGCTATGGTGTATAGGCTTTCCGAGGCTGTAAATCTTAGCCAGAGCAGAACACCTCATCTTTTTGTCTGGAGCAGTTGGTGGGTTTGAACTGCTGACCTTGTGGTTAGCAATTCAGTGCTTATCCTACAGCGCCACCAAATGCTCCATCTGCTAAGCATATGGTTCAGCAAATCAGACACTCAGAATCTGAGTCTATAACTTTCTAAGTAAGGCTCACATTAGGAGTCATTTGATATCTCCCCATGGTCAATATCATTCCAAGAATCACACATTGAGGAAACCTAAGAAATTCTAGGAGACTAAAGTTCAGTAAGCCTAACAATCTGACATACCACAATTCCAAAGATAAATATAGTACGAAATGATCTCCAGGGCTGGGCTACAACCCTCTTACAGTCTTGGGACTGACAATAAGGACACTTGGTGGCATGGTGGGTTATGCGTTAGGCTACTAACCTCAAAGTCAGCAGTTCAATCCACCAGCCACTCCTCGGGAAAAAGATGAAACTTTCTGCTCCCATAAAGACGTACAGCCTCAGATACCCTATACAGGATTGCTATCTGTTGGAACCAATTTGAGGGCACACAACCACCAACCAACTAGGGGCTGACAGTAAAAAGCTGAATTCTCCAGCCTCCAAAAAGTTAAGGTTCGACACAATTCTCTTGCAGTAAGAGTGTAAGTCTAATATTCTATATGGTGTGGATTCTAGGTCATAACCTTATGGATAGTCCAACCCTTCAGAGACACAAGTAATCCTTATGGAAACTCTTTAAATATACAGGAGTCCTGGTGTGGCGCTATGTGTTAATGCGTCAGACTGCAAAGCCGTGTGAACTGCAAGGTCGGCTGTTCAAGGTCACCAGTCACTCCTCGGAAACCCTACACAGGGTCGCTATGGGTCGGAACCGACTCGACGGCACTTAACAACAACTGCCACATAGACTGTTCTGAAATGGTGGGAATGTTCTGTATCTAAAAAGTCTAAAATAACAGCCAGTAGCCAGTCAAGGTGATGGAGAAATGGAATTTTTAACTTGATTTTATAAGAATGAATTTAAGTACCCATATGCGGTTAATGGGGTCCTGGTGTGGTGCTGTGGGCTAATGCACCAGACTGCAAAGTGGTTCAAACTGCAAGGTTCAAGCTCACCAGCTGCTCCTCAGAAACCCTATACAGGGTCACTCTGAGTCAGAACCGATTCGATGGCACTTAACAACAACAACAATGTGGTTAATGGCTACCAGATTGAACAAAACAGTCCTAGAGATATCGAACATTAAAGAGACATCAATTTTCTAGAGTTCTTCATTCTTAAAGAACCCAGCTTCTAAGAATCTAGGCAGCTGAGTCTGAACATTTCCAAGAGCCTGCGGTCTCCAATTTGTCCTCTTCATCCTCCAAATTAGAATACCCCAGGGCCCATGGGTATGGACTTAGTGGCCACCAGGCTTCCTATGGCCCTTACCTGGCCACCAGTCCTACCCTAACCCAGGCCCATGTTCTCACCTGGTACAGTTCCACACGCTGCTCCACTTTTAACTTAAGCCTCAGCAGACGCAACTCCGCCCGAGAAAGCAATACAGATTCAGATACTGCTTCTCGAATCTCCGATGTGTTGAAGAGAATATATAAGCTGTGAGGGGCATGGCTGAGTTTCTCATAGATTTCTAGATGGTAAGGAACAGAGGGAGAGAGAGAGGATGTCAGAGGTTTCGCAGGAGAAGGGGAGCTGGTACACCCCAAGTCTAAGAGGGGGAGCGCTCCAGAGCGGACAGCCCTGGGTTGGAATGCAAAACCAACCATTTTTAAACTATGTGATCTTTGGCAAGTGGTTTTACTTCTCTATCACCCTTCTGTAAGTGGGCCCTAATTATCCTCTCTATCCTGACCCATTGTCTGTAAAGACCCACCCAGAGGCTGGCACCAAGGTGGGCTGATCTGCTTGCTTAAGCCTCCCTAGCACTTGGCGTCTTGAATGCAAGAGAACTGCAGAAAGGTCTGGCAAATGACTTCAGAGAAACCAGTTGCTAAAAACCCAATGGAGCCCGGTTCTGCTCTGATCACAAAATGCCACGGCTGTCTTCTGGCTGTGGGTCCAGTGGGCAGGTCACAGCCCCTCTCTGAGCCTTCATTTCCTGTTATTCTTTGAGAAACAACTGTAACCATCAAGCTCCCTGCATTTTAAGCCAGACTTTCCTAACTACCAGTGCTGTCTAACCTTGGCCAAGAGAATTTTTCTCTGATCTCCAGATCCTCATCTGTAAAATGAAGACCCACTCCAGAATTACAGTGCAAAATAAGTGTGACGAGGCAGGCAACACACTGAAGCCTGCATACAGTAGTCACTCAATCAATAACATGTGTTAAAGTGTGCTCTCACTATTCAAAGCAATCCACAAAGATTAGTCACAACTATTATATCCATTTTATAGATGGGGAAACTGAGATGAAGCTTGTTCCAGGGTCACACAGCTAGAAAGCTGCAGGGATGGGGTGGTTTCAAACTCTTAACCTCTAGGCTATCGGCTGTTTTCCACTAATAACTATTATTACTATTAATTGCTTCCCTCTCTCTAAACTGGTTGTAGTTGTTAAGTGACTTGGGGTTGGGGTCGATTGTGACTCAGGGTTTCTGAAAAGCTAAACTAGAAAACCATCTTGTTCATTTCCTCCTACCCCTGCAGCCATACTTACCTGGGTTTGTGTCCTTAACTTCACCTCAGCTGGTTAGGAAAGGTAAAGTTCAGGACACCAGCTCAGGTAAGAATGGCTGCAGGGGTGGGAGGAAATTAAAAAGCGGGTTTTCCAGTTTAGGAAAAATCCAGGAGTGGGGGTCAGGGCGCAGAACAGAAACTCCTGGATCAATCTGGAAGTCAGTGTTTTGGAGCCTCCCACATTGGGGGTGAGAGACCCTTCTCTTAGCCCCCTCCCCTATTCCTGCTCCCCAGTCAGGCCAGTCTTTGCCCTCTCCCCCACCACCACCCTCCATACAAACCCTATTTTTGGCCCAGCGGTTACTCAGCATACACCAAAGGAAGGGGAAACCTGTGCTGGGCCAGACAGATAGATGAAAAGTGGAGGAGGGACGTGCAGGGTCAGGGCTGAGGCATCCAGGAAGGGAGAGATGGGGAAACCGCAGATACTGGGGGAGAAGGAGAGGGTGAAATGTAGAACCAGTAACTGGGAGGGCCACAGCGGACAGGGAGATGAATGAAATGAGGGAGATTTGACTAGACAGAGTGAAACGGAAAGGAACATACATTAGGAGGCAGAGTCTAGGGAGACTTTCCTAGAGTCCTGGTATGGCACTGCGGAATAATGCACTGGAATGCAAGGTCGGGTTTAACAGTAAAGTCGGCGGTTCAAACCCACCAGCCGCTCTTCGGAAACCCTATACAGGGTCACTATGAGTCGGAATCGATTTGACGGCATTTAACAACAGGGAGAAAGAAGAACGGGAACGGGGTATAGATAAAACCTACAACGACCATGAAAGGCAGAAAAAGGGGAGGGAGACGGGGGCGTGTTATTTGGTTGAATCCGCAGACTGGTCGCACGAGAGTCCTGGGGACTGGCAAATCTACTCCTCAAGCGAAAAGTGGAAATTTAGGGGACGGCCCTCAAGTTCCTGGGCCACGCGGGACTCCAGGGTCTTCACCCAGGCGCCAACTGGGCGGGCCCGGCAACCGCTCCACCCCCAATAGGGGTGAGGAGGGCGGCGAGAGGCGACGCAGAGGCGAGGGCGGGGACCGGACCTGTCTCGTCTCGCCCCGAGGTTCCGCACACGATCCGCGCTCCCCCACCCCCACCCCGGGCCACAGGAAGGGAAGGGAAGGGAAGGAAAGGGAAGGGAGGGCGGGCGAGGCGACCGGACGCTGGGGTTTCCCCAGCCTCCCGGAGAGGAACTGAGACTTTGGGGTCCTGATGCGCGGCTCCTCCCCCTCGCGCGTGGCGCCCACGTGGGGCTTTCTCACCTCACCCCACCAGCTCAGTGTTCTCACTCCCGGTTTGTAGAGTCACCCCTACTCACCCCTCCATCTTCTTTAAGAAACCTCGACTCCTTATTTAGGCTACTCGCCCCGCAGCGTATGGAGAGCCCGCTGAACCTCTCCTCCTCTCTCTCTGTCCACCTTTCCCACGCTGTCTCCCTTCCCTCTAAACCCCTTCCAATGGTTTTCTGGTCTAAGCTTCTAGGATGGTCAATTCCTCCGCTGAGCTCTACTCTCTATCTCTCGCCTCCCAATGCGAAGCACCCACACCTTCCCAGTCATCCCCAGCAGACCCACGGGGTGACCGCTTCTCTCCCACTAGCCTCATCCTCCCCACGACATAGCATCCTAGTCTTTCGGGCATTTCTCACACTCTCCCTGTGAGACTGCTCCCTCCACTCTCCAACTTTCCTATCCTTCCTGGTTCTTTCCGCCCCGAGGTCTGGGTCAGCTTTCAGCATGCGTCCTTTCCCCAAAGCTGGGGTCTTAGTTTCGCCCAAACCGAATCTCTACAGCCCCCACGCTTCACAACCTTGCATTTTGGTCTAGTCTCGCCCTCTCCTTTCCAATAAACTTCTTTCCCTCAAGGGGAGTCTCAGGATCCAGCGTGTTGTTGTCCCCTAGAATCGGCCCACTCTCCCAGGGTTCGAACCGGTTCATATAGTTTCGACCTCCTGCTGAGAATTTGCCCTTTCCACCCCTAATGGGTTAAATTCAAATCTACATTTTTGCAAGATCCCCAGGTGATTTCTAATATACACTTCGTACATCTTCGCAAGACCTGATACTGGCTACAGGTTCAGCCCCACTTTCTTTGGGACCTCCCACGATCCCGGTGCCCCCCGGGGTCTTGTTCTCAGTTTCTCAGCTAGTAATTTCCTCCCGGAGGCTGACCCCTGCACTCCGGCGCCCCCTGGGGGCTCCCCTCCCGGCTCCCCTGCCCTTCTGAGCTCACTGTTGCCGCTTTCCACCATTAGCACGCGGGTGACTTCCTTGGCGTAGTAGTCCGTCTCTGGCTCAGGTTCGGGCTCCGCGCTCTCCCCGGCCACTCGGTCGCGGGTACTGTTGTAGAGGGCGAGTACAGACTCGGGTAGCGGGCCGGGCGGCACCTCCCCCTGACTCGGGGGGCTGGCGAGCCGCAGCTTGGATAGAATTTGGCCGCGGATGGCCTCGATGCGCTTCCGCTTCACCAGCTCCATGTCGATGGTCTTGCAGGTGGACAGTCCCGCGGCCGGCCGGCCCGGCGTCAACACTAACAGCCGTAACAGAGGCAGCAGCAGCGGCAGCAGCCGCAGCCCGGAAGGCGGCATGGGGGAGGCGGCGCCCCCCGGCACTGCCGAGCGCGCGAACAGGGATGGGATGGGATGGGATGGGGGGGAGGCCCCGCCCCTGGAGGGGCTAGGGGTCTCCCTAGGGGCGGGGGGAAGTTGAGGTCCTCAGGGAGAAGGGAGCAGGGGTGGAAGGTTCTGACGGGAGAGTCTCGGTATCCCACGGGAAAACCCCGAGGTGGGTAAGATCTGAAGCCGGAGAGTGGGTGGCCTTGAATTGGGAAATTGAGGCAGTTCTGAGAGATCCCGGGGGAGCAGAGTTCTTGGGTGTTCCGAGGCTCAGGAGAGAAGCTGGGGCTGAGGGCAGCGACCAGGGGGGTGCGCCCGAGGTCTGGGGCAGCTAAAGTCTTCGCGGGAGTCCGGGTTTGCGGCTCCTGCGGGCTGGTCCGGAATGGGGCGCCTGGGGGACGTCGTGTGGGGGCAGAGAGGGAGCAAGCGTCCTAGGCGGGGAACACGGGCAGGGAGGGTCCGGAGTCCCCAATTCTGCCTCCTCCGGGTCAGCGCCGCGCCAAACGGTCCCCTCGCCTCAGGCTCCCAGCGGCAGCGGAAAAGTCTCAAAACTTTTTTTTCCTCTTCTCCCAACCAGCTCGTCCCTCCTCCCGCTCCTCCTCTCCCTCCTCCCCGCAGTGGCGGCGGCGGGGGCGGCGGCGGCTCGTCTCTGACTCTAGAGTCTAAAGCTGTTGCTCGGCGGCTCCTTTCTCCGCTTCCTCGGAGCCCCGGTGGCCCGCTAGAGGCTAAGCCGGGGGTGTGCCCAGGAGGGGGCGTCCCCCCTCCCCCCAGCCGAGGGCCTAGCTGTCTGGAGGATCCCGCGGCGGGAGGAGGGAGGGGCACGGCCCGGGGAGTGAAGGGCGGCGGCGGGGGTACCGGCTGGGGCAGCGGGAGGTTTTGAAGCCGCCCCGGCCCCACCCAGGAAGCGCGTGGGGTGGGGGTGGGGTGGCCCCCAGGGGGAAGGCATGAAGGGCAGGCCACCGTCCTCATCTTGCGTGGGCGGGCTCCGAAGGGGGTCCCTCCAACCCTGGGGGGGAAGCGGGGAGGGCACCGGACTCCGCCCCACAAACAGGGTGCTGCCTCCTGGCGGCCATGCACTACCAAAGCAGCTACCAGAGTCTGGGGGGGTCACAGAACTGAGGCGATCTCAGGCAAAAGGTGGGGCCACAGGGGAGTAGAGAAGGGGGGCCCAGAGCTGACCGAGGCTGGTGCAGAGGGTGAGCGGGCCAATTAGAAGATGAATGGAGGGCAATGAGTCCGTCACAGGACAGGGGTGTGGGACAGGGGATCAGTGGATAGATGTGTCCAAAGGGGATCAGAAGAGGGGTACCCAGGAGAGACTGTCAGAACAGAGGTGTGGAAGAGGGGCTGCCAGGTGAGAGGAGTGCCCAGAAGAACAGAGGTGTCCAGGAGGAGTCAGGAAGTAGGGTCAGATGAGGGACACCCAGAGTAGAAAGGGAGGCAGAGGGAGAAAGCAGATTTCTGGAAAGATGGGGTCTGAGGAGGAAGGGTGGCCGGAGGGAACAGGTCCGATGAAGGAGTAAAGAGGCAGAAATATGAGGAAGCACCTTTATTGACACTGCCCATGTGCACCTCCCACATGCTCCAGAGCTTCTCACTCAACCCCTGTGGCCCCCATTTTACAGACAGGAAAACTGGGGTCTCAAGACACAATCAGTGGCTTCAGGTTCCCTGCAAGGCCAGTTGCTACACTATGCCTTGGCGGGAATCAGTTCTGGGCCAGCTCCAGACCCCATGGTCTCAACCACTGTGCCACACACAGCCTGCCCTCATCAGGTGCCCAGGGCATGGTTGGAGCCAGATGCTGGAAGGAGGGTCCCTCAGCACTCGACACCATAGCGGTCAAAATGGCGTAGCAGCAGGCCAAGCTGGAGGTGCACGGTGCCACCAGCAGTCGTGTGCAGGCGGTAGCGGTCAGCCCCGCTGTAGATGGTGTCCCCATGCAGCAGCTGTGGCCCACCACCCACAAAGGCCCGCGCCAGCTGCTCCCGCCAGCTGCCCAGGGGCCGCCATGTGGGGCAGTCCAGCTGGTGGGTGCCTGGGCTGCTGGGCACATGGCAAAAGCCATAGCCAGCAAGCTGGCAGCGGCCAAAACTGTCCTGGGACCACACCTGGAGATGGAGTCGGGGCCAGCCTGCAAGACAGGAGGAAGCAAGGGAAGTAGACATGAGCTTGGCCCAACCTGGCAGATTCATGGTCCAGTCTCTTGCTCCTGGATCTTATTGCCTTGATACCCCACCACCTAGATTCTGTCCCAGCCTCCTCCCTGGTCTTTCACCATCTAGTCCACCCACATACAGCAACCAAAGGGATTATTTCTAAATCCATGTTCTTCTTCCGCTCAGAATTCTTCTATGGCTCCCCAGTGGCCTCCTTAAGAAGTCCATCCAACATTCGAGACCCTTCATATCTGGCCTCTGTTGGCATCCCTCTCTATGACCTCTTCCTCATGCTTCCCCAGGCTCCTGATTAGCACCTTAGACTTGAGCCTACATGCCTCCTCATTTCCCTCCCTGTTGTTGTTTAGTCCTCCCTGTGGCCCCACCCTATCTTCTTCCCTGGACTGGAAGCCTTTCTTACTTTTCTCCTTTCACCTGACAGCTGGAAGCATCTTTCTCCCTCTTCCACGGGTTTCCCAGAAATTCCCAGAATATAGCTAGACTTTCTCAGCCTGCTAGGCAAAGCCCTTGGGGGCTCCATTTTGAGCCCCTCCTAAACACCAGGCCCTGATCTAGGAGCTGAAGATCCAGCTGGAACAAGGCAGACAAAAATTCCTGCCCTTCAGAAGCTGACATCCTAGACAACACACATAATAAATCAGTAAATTACAGGGTATGTCAGATGGTGATAACTGCTCTAGAGACAAATTAAGCAGGGTAGGGGTGGGGTGGGGGTGGAGTTTTACAAAGGGGTGGTCCAGAAAGGTTTCAATGAGAAGGTGACATTAGAGCAAAGGCTTCAAGGAAGGGAGTGGACCATGTGATGATCTGAGGGAAGAACATGACCAGCAAAGGAAGCAGCCAGTGCAAAGGCCCCAACGTGGGAGCATGCCCAGTGGGGCCAGGTGGTACTGGGGGGGTGAGCCAGGATGAGTGGGAGGAGGAGGTACAGAGCCCTGTAATCCATGTGTTATAGATTGAATCCACATGCGCACCCCCATAAATGTAATATATGTGTGTTATAAATCCTAGCCTCCATGCTTGTGACGGAGTGCTGGTGTGGCACGGTAGGATAAGCACTGGACTGCTAACCACAAGGTCAGTGGTTCTGCCCAGCCACTCCTCAGAAACCCAACAGAGGGTGACTATGAGTCAGAACCGACTCAACAGCAGTTAACAACAACAGCATGCCTGTGATTGGAATTCTGGTGGCACTCGCTTTAGGCCAAGCACTGGACTGTTAACCATAAAGTCGGTAGTTTAAACCCACCAGCCATTCCACAGGAGAAAGATGAGACTTTCTGCTCCCACAAAGATTTATAGACTCGGAAATTCTATACGTGGTCTCTCTGTGTCCAAATCAATTCCATGACTGTGAGCTGCATACCTGGGATTATGATCCCATTTGGGAAAGGGTTGTCTTTGTTAAGGACACCTGGAGGCACAGTGGGCTAAGGATGGGGCTGCTGACTGAAAGGTTGTTGGTTCAAACCCACCAGCTGCTCCATGGAAAAAGAAAAGGCTCCTGTAGAGATTTACAGTCTCTGGAGTTGTTTTATTCTGTACTGTCTCTGGTGTGTAGTGGTTACAAACAGGGCTGCAAACTGCAAGGTCAGCAGTTCGAAACCACCAGCTGTTCTGTGGGAGAAAGGTGAGGCTTTCTGTTCCTGTCAAAATTTACAGCCTCTGAAACTCTGTACAGGGTTGCTATGAGTCGGAACCCACTCCACAGCACATAACCACCACCACCATCTGGTAGCGTAGTGGTTACGAATCAGGCTGCTCACCTCAGGGATAGCAGTTCGAAACTACCAACTGTTCCGCAGGAGAAAGATGAGGCTTTCTGTTCCCATCAAGATTTATAGCCTGGGAAACCCTGTGCAGGGTCGCTATGCTATGAGTCAGAACCGACTCCACAGCACATAACAACAACAACATAGAGGCGCAGTGGGCTAATGCGTCAGACTGCAAAGTCATTTGAACTGCAAGGTCAGTGGTTCAAGTTCACCAGCTGCTCTTTGGAAACTCTATACAGGGTCGCTGTGGGTCAGAATTGACTCGACAGAACTTAACAACAAGAGATTGCTGGTGTGGCTCTGTGGGTTAATGCACTGAACTGCAAAGTCGGTTTGAACCACAAGGTCATTGGTTCTAGCTCACCACCTGCTTCTCAGAAACCCTAGACAGGATGATCAGAACCAACTCAATAGCACTTAACAGTACAGTTAGGGTTTGGCTTGGGGGTTTGTCTTTGTTATGTTAACAAGACAGGATTAATTAGGAGCTCTGGTAGCGTAGTGGTTATGAATTGGGCTGTGAACCTTAAGGTCAGCGGTTCGAAACTACCAGCCGCTCCGCGGGAGAAAGATGAGGCTTTCTACTCCCGTAAAGATTTACACCCTCGGAAACCCTGTACAGGGTCGCTATGGGTCGGACCCGACTCTATGGCACATAACAACAACAACAACAACAACCTTGGGTCAGGCAAGTTAAATAATCACAGATGAGGGAAGGACTGATGCCAAGTCACATGGAGGTCTCCAAGGGTCCAGGAAACAACAGGATGATAGACAAGAATCTTCTACAGAGGGAGAAGCCTTCCCCTAGAGTTGTTGTTAAGGGCCGTGGAGTCGGTTCCAACTCATAGTGACCCAGCACAGGGTTTCCGAGGCTGCAAATCTTTACGGGAGCAGAAAGCCTCATCTTTCTCCTGTGGAACAGCTGGTAGTTTCAAACTGCTGACCATGAGATTAGCAGCCCGATTTGTCACCACTACGCTACCAGAGCTCCTTACGGGCATCCTGAATTCAGACT